TTTTTCCTCTCTAATTTTCTCATTATTATCATGAGAAATCTGAATTTCCATGGAGTAATTTTTTGTGTTCTTTTTTCTTGTTTAAACACGAAGTTGAGGAGAAAATCTCAACTTCGTTGACAGTAAAAAGTTTGAATTCATTATTGAACTTTTTTTCTCCCAACTCTATGATAATGATAATTTTTACAAGACTAGAAGAGTATTTAAAAAAAGTTCTAACAAGATGCAGATTAAATTTCATCGAAAATTATTGTCAGAGTATAAGAGAAAAATCTGAATAAAATTGATAATAATCATGAGGCAAAGAACTTAATAGCTTGAGAATTGGTGAAGAATGAGAAATTCTGAATTCGAATCCGAGATTATCACCATTAGACAAGAAATTTTTTCCTCTCTAATTTCACAGGTTAACATGATAACTTTATTAACTGAATTAACATCAATTCCATGAGATTTTCTAATCAAACTCAGAAAGTTTGTTAGACTAATGATAGATTGACATTGGAAGATGAAATTTGTTCATGGAGGGAATGGGAGGTGCTGCTGGTGAATAAAAGTTGACACTTTGGTTTCGTAAAGTTTATTTTCAACCAAAGAATCAGATTCATCAGAGTTTCTGGTTACAGGAGAGTGGAAAGAGTGATGATTAATATCAATCTCATTGATCATTTTATGTTAACTTGATGAGATTCATTGTAACAGGAAGATGATAACTTGAAGTCGGGTGATGTTTATCATGATGGAGACAAAAAAGAGGGTGGAAAATATTAAAGTTCTGTTTTTGGTTCATCATCATGTTTACGTGATTTGGTTACAATACAAAGTTTACATTGGTTGATCCTAAACTACTCAGTATTTGGACTATGGTTATCACTTTGCTGACCAGTTTCATTTTCAGCCACACTGAACTTCAACCATGTTGTTATCATGTTTCATTCATGTTTGAGTATCTGAGTTACAGTTTCATTTTCAAAGATTTCATTTCCTCTCTCAAATCAATATCATCCTTTTTTTTGTGTGTCCATCCCTCTGGACATCAATCGGTTAACCTCTATCTATCTCCCTTACAATTTTTGTCTCATCATGTTTAGTAAATTGTTGCTGAGGATGGTGAAAAATTTTCTCCAATCTAATCCTGGCTCAGAGTTTCATCAGAATTAATAGATCATCCTGAATCGATGGTCAAACATTATCACATTTATCAAAATCATTGTGGTCACTTTTTTCATATCTATCAAAACTTAAGCATCTGACATGATGAGAAACTTATTTCACCCGAATTCATAAATCGCTCGAAAAAACATCTTAAGATGGTCAATTTGAATTCTTCAGGTTAATAATAGATTGAACTTTTCAAGGCTGACCAATGTTTCCTTTGTTTTTCCTCGTCTTTTGTTTCAACTTGATTCCAATCAGTTCCATGGATTAAATTTATCTGATTATCTCTGAGTTAGCAATTGAATCAGAACTTTTTATTTTCTTCCTCTTCGCTAAACTTGTTGCCATATGTTGTCCATCTATTATTAAACTGGCCAACAACCTTGAACACTTACAATCTAATAATGATTGTAATTTAATCTCTAAACAATATCAAATAATATCCAATAAGCACATAACACAAAAGGATGAAATTGAATCATCATCATCATAATAGTCAACAGCTAATTAGGTTGTTGACCATTTACCTGGACCTATCTTCATAACAATGTGAAGATAATCAAAGTTTACCTTTAAATTGTCATTATAATCACTTCATCATCATAAAAATTATCATGAAACCATGAACAAAAATCGCTCCTCCATTGGATAGTCTGGTCAATTTGAAATAACTAAATTTTTGCTCATCTAAATGATAATAAGATTGAATTAAATTACATGAACTTCAGGAGATATTATCATTTCAGTAGGAGGAGAGAGAGAGAGATAAAAGGAAACGGAAATGTTCAAATTTTGATTTTTCTGGACAATCAACTCAATTGTTGCCAATTGAAAGCTAATCAATAGTCTGTCCTGCTTAATGAGCCTTGGACTTGATTAACTTGATTATTATGAAACTTAAATGATGATGATATATATCATTAAAGTGGATGATTAGAGTGGGTTAAGGTATTGTAGGAATATTTTCAGCTTCATCCTATTTCATTTTCAGCTCTAATCTTCATCGCCATTATCATTATCATCATCATCATCATGCTTGATGATGATTATTTTTGAAGATCGTCAAGGATTTACTTGATGATGATAATAATCATGTTAATACTGATGAAAGCTCAGTGTAAATTGAAATGAGTTGAACGATAAACTTTTTCACTTTATACATATTATATTGACAATGAAGAGTAAAAAAAACTTCATCTTCTATTCAACTCTGTCATCAGCATCTTCATCTGATTTATACTATCATGAAATTGCCCTGAGCTTTAATGAAAAAAAGGAAAACTCTTGCTAATCATTATCATATTATACCCATGTTTGTTTTATCCAAGTTGAATGTTATCGTTACAACGTGATGATTAGTTAATGATGATTACCTGATATCGACTAATCAGATTTAATTGTCTCTCTCAACCTAATCATGAACAATTAGCGTCAAGGGATAGTAAATGCTGCGAACTTAAAAAAAGGAATACAAAAGTTCTAATGCCTGATTAGTTTACAATCGATTGAAGAAAAAAAAATAAAACTTTTTCATCGTTTTGGTAAACATAATGAACTTTTCTTGAACTGTCACATGAGTGAAAAAATAAAAGTTCATCATGACTGTTATTCTGAATAATTTACTTTCTCCTGATCTCATGATGATCTTTCTAGTGATTCTAATTTACAGAGATATTAAAAGTATCACCATCATGGAAAATGATAGAAGGGAAGAGGAAAAAATAGAACTTTTTTATTCTTTCACTGAATTGTTCCAGTGATTCGACAAGAATGAAAAGAGATTTTTTTTTTTTCATTGTTTTCTTTTTTTCTCTCTTCACCTTCACACACTTTTTCTTTTTCCCTTATAATCATCTTTTTTTTTCGTCACTTTCGGTTTGCATGTGATATAACATGAGAAAATTGAGATTCGAAAGAAAAATTATTCTCTTAAACATCAATGGAACTTTTTCCTTCCATGTATCCCATCTTATTCATGGGTATCCGTTCATCCTCCATGCAAAAACAATCTTCACTTTCATCATCATCGACTTGACATTGTTTCCATGGATACGAATCTTCATCAAGACTTTTTTTTTCGTTCTTTCCTCGCAAATGAATATAAAGTTACATGGAATACATTTTTTGGTTCATCCAATTTCATGAACGTCACCATGATCTCACCTTGTAGATCATGTTGATGTTTCACCTAAATCATCACAATTCAAATTAATGAAATATTCAACGGCTCCTGATGATCAGTCAATTAAGTTACATGTATGTTGACAGGTAACGATTTTCGTAACCATCAGAATTACTTTCATGATTAGCATGATAATTTCAGGGTGTTGCCTGAGCCTATTGATTGATTTGGTTATTTTTTTCACAAAATTCTGATTGAAAACTCAATCTGATAATTTCATTAACAAAGAGAAAAAAAAACATTATCACCTAAGTGAGTTTCTACCAACTGATGAAAGGTGAACATTTCATTTCTCTCTCTATCTCTCTCACACTGAACTTTTGACACAGGAAAATTCTGATTAAGTGTCAACACTCGAGAATATGAATTAGCGAGGTTGAGTAATAAATTACACACCAAGTTCATCACCATGATGAGTTGATGGTGGTTAAGTTGGAAACCAAAAGAGTAATATCAAAGGGAAGGATGATGAAATTCCCATGGATACTATGGTAATTCCTGAGGTTAATCCATTTAATTGGATAATAACTAGGATATAATTATATTTCCATGATTCCTGTGGGTATATTATTCAGTCAGAGAGAGAGAGAGAGATCAAGGTTTTCCATGGTTATTTGTCCAAGGTAATAAGAAGATAATTCAGTCGTTTTCTTCATTATTTTCAATCCTCTCTTTAATACTCACACTTTCATGTCAATTTGGCAAGAACATTTCAAATTCGAGAAGAGAGAAAATAAAAAGTTCTAACACTTTAGCAAATAAATGAGAAGAGACTTGAAAACTTTTCCTTTTATCAAGTAAACTTTCAATTTCGTTTAAAAGTAACAAAAGTTTCACCTTCAATGATAGTTAACAATAATTAACTAAATCAACTCAACTATCTAAATGGTATAAAAAGGTGTGTGTGTGATTAACAGTAATGGTGAAGGAAAGATAAAACAATTTAGATGATAACAATCAAGTCTCATGAATTAAATTAAGATGATTAAGAAAGAAACAAACTCAAGTATTATTTAGGGTGAGGTGGAAATCGAAAAGGTAAGTTGATCTAATTTAACTTTTAATAGGTGAAAATGGTAACTGTGTATTAGAACAAATGAAAAAGTTTATCGATTTCTTAATTCTAAACAAAAACTGATAACCTAAATCTTATTTACAGAGGTAACACAAGTAGTTTCCAATAATAATGAATATGATCATATAAATAAGAGGCTTGTAAGCTAATATCATGATTTTCATGAGAGAGAGAGAGAGGGAGAGAGGAATCAGAATCACCCTGAACATTGGGACTATTCAGCTTTACCACTTCGAAGCTTGTTTATATTAATACTTTTGAACTTGAATTATATACTTTCCGTATTCAAGATTACATTGTATTAGCTGATGATAATATGAGATACCCTGTTTTTTTTATTTAGAGACTCATAATAAGCTATAAGATTAATTGTATCCAATTTAAATTGCTATTTACTTTATGATAATTTATATGCAAGATTATTTTTTATTATGTTTTATATCAAGGGTTCGGGTTATTTCATGGGAGTTTTTTTTTCTTGGTGCATTTTGTTTACCAATTAATCTAACAGTTGAAACTTTGTTTTGTTCTTGTTTGTATTTTATGTTTGTATTTAGAATTGGTCTAAATTTTGGACAGACTTACCGTTCGATCACCAAGTTGACGGATTTTACAATGAAGGTAAGCAGTTTTACCTAATTGAGTTGTCACATTGTCCACATTATGGTCATCAAAGTAAGGCTTGAAGGAGGGATCGTCCCAGGCTGAAAGAGGTCTAGAGGGTGGTTCGATTTTGGTTGTACCGAAAATAGTTGATGGAAGTTGTTGTTGTTGTTGTTGTTGTTGTTGTTTGTATGCTGAGGCGACAGAATTGAAATGAGCATCTAGATAATAGAAGAGAAGAGAATGAAATTTTCATGAGATTCCGATAAATTCATTGATGATCAACATCAACTTTCAATGTTCAATTAAATGTGAATTTTCATTTGGAGTTAACTAAAATTCTGACATAAATTCTTATACTTTTACTGTTCGAAACAAAAGGTTAATTTTCAGGGTATAACCAATGGGTTCATGAGTAATTGTCTTGTAGCTGTTTGATCAATTGCTTTTGGATGTTCAGTAATGATGATTTGTCTTAACAGCTTCATCGTCTTCCCTTTCATCATCCATTCTATTTCTCTTCTTAGCTTATCATCTCTTATATATAAATTCTTATCCCACCCTCTCAATCCCTGTGCCCATCTTAATGTAGGCAAAAAAGGAAAGATCAACATGGAGACAAAATTTGTAACTCGAATCATCTTAAAGTGTCAAAGACAATTTAACTTGAAAGGTTAATGGTTCGACTTTTCATCTACGAAGAGAAACCAATTTATTCGAGTTTCATTGTTCTTTCCTCGATTTTCCTCCTTTACATAGTAAATTCTTATTCAACATCCACTTCCTTAACATGTTCACCACCACGACTTTTATCCTCCTCTTTAGCCAGTGGTCACAATTAGAACAACATAAAAAGACCCAAATAGTAACAACAAGGTTCATGGGAAAACAATATCAACACGAATAGTTAATCTCTCTCAATGAATAGGAAGTACAAGGAAAAGGAGTTGATCATGATGGAGGTGGAAGGTGAAAAAATCATTGATCACAGTGGGTTCACTTGATGGATAAGGTGCAGAAAATACTGAGGGATACAAAAAATAAAAAGGCTCTACTTAGAGGTGATGATGATAATGTAAAGGTAAGATTAACGTGATCAAAGGTTTCAACATGAAATCCCTGAGGCTAAATTTTTACAGGTTTCATCATGAAGTCAATAACATTTTTTTTGTTTTCCTCTTATGAACTAAAGTTAACATAGACAGATTGTGATCTCAGCATCATGATGATAATGATTGAACAGTTAATTCACCTTGAGACATGAAATTATCATTCTCATTCAATTTCTAAGTCATTCTCAAGATGAAATGCCTTCATGAGATCTGATTTAGTGATATGAATGCTGAATAAACTTCCAAGGAAATGAACAAAAAAATCTCAAGATAAGATGTAAAAACTATTGGGTAGTTTGTTTCTATTTTAGCTGGTCAGTGTTTAGATTCTGATTGGGATTCTGGTCAATTGGAAAGTTCATCTTCTTTTGTGATAACATGTGATAATGAGCATCTATTCGTCCTAAAGGTAACCTTAGGGTAGAAAAATAGTAAATTCTTATATTAATATATTTCTGTTATTTAGTTTTCTTCACTTTCTCTCTCTCTCTCTTTCGTCCATAAGAAATTTTCTTACTATGAAAAGTTCTGAGGAAAAATGATTCCAGTTATGGCATTGAGACTTTCGCTCATCTTTACTGACACCATTTCCATGAAATTCTGACGATTTGTTTTTATCGAGAGTAGTAATAAAACCTCCGCTTCTGAGCCACTCAGAAGCGGAAGTGGGGGAAAAATTATTGTCTATTTTATTAATTAATAGAAATTTATTTAAATAATGCGGTTGAATGGTCACGTGATTTTTTGCTACTAAGCAACATATCACATGACCATTCCGTTTCCTGTTTACTATTTTCCTGTTTACTTTTTTCATCTAGCTTTACAGTAAATGTTATTGTGGTTATTTTTTCATCATAAAATTTTTTGAGTTATCTGATTAATTCGTTTGTTTTATTATATTAATAACAATGTTTATACCTCGAGCTCCACTTCAATTACTTTTATTGTTTGGTAAGTTTACAGAACGTTTTCATATTAATGAATTTGACTAATAATCTTTATATTTTGTTTTGCAGCAATGGTTTTCAATGCAAACATGACAAATACAAGTGCTAATAATACTATGAGTCAAAATGGTAGGTTTAAATTATCATTGTGATCATTTTATACCATTAATAATATGTCATCTATTTTTATTTTCAAAGATCAACAACAACAGCAACAACAACAACAGCAGCAGCAGCAACAACAACAACAACAAGCACAAGAACAGCAACAAGAAGAAGAAGAAGTACAAGCTGAAACAAACCAACAGGAACAAGTCGAAAGAAACGCATCACAACAGAACCAAAATATTGAAACAACAACAGATGGTGAGTCATCGAATTTTGTTATCCTCTGATGTGAGAGTTAGTACTGTAACAAATATATGAGATAAAAATATTCGTGATTGTTACATTTAGTGTAGCAAAAATTGTTTGGACCGTACATAAAATCGTTAGAACTTTACGAAAGACTTATAAACATTTTCTTACTATATGTATATTACATAGTAAATAGGGTTAGGTTAGGTTAGACCAAAGTATGAGTGCGACTCATGATCTTTAGAGATTATTACTAGTAGCATCAGGACTAACATTTACACCGAAAATCAATCGATTCACACTTGGCGCTAAATTTCTATAGACATTTTCTTTCTCTATGGACATTGCATGATAAATAGGGTTAATAGACCAAAGTATGAGTGCGACTAATGATCATTAGAGATTATTACTAGTAGTATTAGGACTAACATTTACACCGAAAATCAATCGATTCGCACTTGGCGAAAAATTTTTATAGACATTTTCTTTCTCTATGGACATTGCATGATAAATAGGGTTAATAGACCAAAGTATGAGTGCGACTAATGATCATTAGAGATTATTACTAGTAGTATTAGGACTAACATTTACACCGAAAATCAATCGATTCGCACTTGGCGAAAAATTTTTATAGACATTTTCTTTCTATGGACATTACATGATAAATAGGGTTAATAGACCAAAGTATGAGTGCGACTAATGATCATTAGAGATTATTACTAGTAGTATTAGGACTAACATTTACACCGAAAATCAATCGATTCGCACTTGGCGAAAAATTTTTATAGACATTTTCTTTCTCTATGGACATTGCATGATAAATAGGGTTAATAGACCAAAGTATGAGTGCGACTAATGATCATTAGAGATTATTACTAGTAGTATTAGGACTAACATTTACACCGAAAATCAATCGATTCGCACTTGGCGAAAAATTTTTATAGACATTTTCTTTCTCTATGGACATTACATGATAAATAGGGTTAATAGACCAAATTATGAGTGCGACTAATGATCATTAGAGATTATTACTAGTAGTATTAGGACTAACATTTACACCGAAAATCAATCGATTCGCACTTGGCGAAAAATTTTTATAGACATTTTCTTTCTCTATGGACATTACATGATAAATAGGGTTAATAGACCAAAGTATGAGTGCGACTAATGATCATTAGAGATTATTACTAGTATTAGGACTAACATTTACACCGAAAATCAATCGATTCGCACTTGAAAAATTTTATAGACATTTTCTTTCTCTATGGACATTGCATGATAAATAGGGTTAATAGACCAAAGTATGAGTGCGACTAATGATCATTAGAGATTATTACTAGTAGTATTAGGACTAACATTTACACCGAAAATCAATCGATTCGCACTTGGCGAAAAATTTTTATAGACATTTTCTTTCTCTATGGACATTACATGATAAATAGGGTTAATAGACCAAATTATGAGTGCGACTAATGATCATTAGAGATTATTACTAGTAGTATTAGGACTAACATTTACACCGAAAATCAATCGATTCGCACTTGGCGAAAAATTTTTATAGACATTTTCTTTCTCTATGGACATTGCATGATAAATAGGGTTAATAGACCAAAGTATGAGTGCGACTAATGATCATTAGAGATTATTACTAGTAGTATTAGGACTAACATTTACACCGAAAATCAATCGATTCGCACTTGGCGAAAAATTTTTATAGACATTTTCTTTCTCTATGGACATTACATGATAAATAGGGTTAATAGATCAAAGTATGAGTGCGACTAATGATCATTAGAGATTATTACTAGTAGTATTAGGACTAACATTCACACCGAAAATTAATCGATTCGCACTTGGCGAAAAATTTTTATATGAAAATTTTGTATAACTTTGCTAATATTTTCTTCTATTATTATTAATACAGCTTTTTCTTCTGTTTCCATCTCATCTCCAGTAAATGATGCATCATTGTCCAGCTCGTCTACTCAACCTACCACTCCACCTGTTTCTGAAGCAGAGGCCTTATCCTCTACTGTTTCTATTTCTCTTGGTATTCCTTCAGCACCTTCAACTTCAGCCATCACATCTCCTTCAGCCAATACTAGGAGTAAAAGACCACTTTCCAGTCATGGATCTTCACCCACTAAAAAAGCTGCACGATTCGAACTGTCGGATGAAGAACAGGAAGAAGAACCGAATAATGTGATCGAAGTAGTTCAACGACATTCATCAACACGCCTGTCTGATATAGTTCCTGCTAAACAAATGGTCAAGTATCATAATTTGTCTATCAGTCCAGCGAACATTATTGGTCTAATGCGAATGCCAGATGGAGAAATTTTTGCGATAACCACTTTCCTTAAATATTTACTACCACTTTCTAGCTTTATTGATTTGGACCATGATGAAATAAAGGATTTTTATGAAAACGTTTTGGAATATGCGACTCTACAACAAAAAGAAAAAGAACAATACATCACACACAAAGAAGCTGCTGACTATGAAGAGGATTATAAAAAAAATCATCCGTTTGTTTTGGAATGCAAATATTGTGGAGCCTTTTACACCAAAGGAGTAAATCTAAACAGACATGTTAGAGGAAACAAAAATGCAGCGAACCAATTCAGAAGTGTCTGTCAAAAAAGGATAAAAATTGACAATCTACGTTCAAACCAGGTTAATAATGTACCACGGCGAGACCCATGGGCAAGATTTGCTATTTTGGATCCATTAATACCATTGTCCGCGAAAATTCCACTTACTATTGTTAACGAATTTAATAAGTATTGTACAACCAATATGTTATTCAAAAACTCAAGATTCATTGATCCCAACAAATAACAATGTCATAGGCTTACTAATATTGGTGAAATTTTTTCTATTTTTTTCATTTATATTCTTTTATTTATACTCATTTTATTCTTTTTATTTTGTACTCATTTTATTTGTATTCTCTTCATTAATTTCTCCTTTAGACTATCTACTTATTTTATTCACTTTTTTGCTCTTTACTGATTAACTGATTTGTATTCTTTTTCATTTCTTTTTATCTATTATATTTTTCATCAATTTAATATCATTAAACTTTGTACTCAATCACTTTTTAATATTATTATTTATTCATCATTTTTTTCTGTTTTTTTCTTTTCAGGTGCCCTACAAGGTTAACACCTCCACGTGGTGTAGGGTGGATGCTTACTTTAAGCAACTAAGTTAACCAATTTTATCTTTAAACTTATCAATGAATTATTACTTTAAGTACTCAAGATTATCCCAAGGATAATATTTTAATTTATTGCTAGACCCCAGGTTATAATCATGATCCATATTAATGGTATTAAGATGTTGCAATTGGTTTAATTATCCCCTAAGGACAGGATTAAAGGATTATCTTAAAAAGAGTTTCAATGTATATAGTTTATATGCTCCAGGCAAAGATTGGTGATAAAGATAAGTTGTTTAAATTGAATAAAAAGAAGACTGCTTTAATCTTTATCCTTCACTTTAATATTATCCTTATCTTGTGAACCTTCAACGTGAATTAAAGCTTTGAAATGGTAAGTTTTTTTCTTTTTTCTTTTTCCTCTAATCTTTTTAATATCAATTCTTTTTCTTTTTTCTTTTTTCTTTTTTCTTTTTAGGATTTTTCATATAAAACTGTTCACCTTAACGATGACTCGTTTTGGAAAATTCTTTTTCAAATAAGGAAGGCAGTGGTAAAATACAATCACATAGAACTGCATTCGATGTATCGATCATTCCTATCTACCTTTGATTCAATCAAAACAATGGAGATACAGCTGAAAACAAATGATAAAGATGAATGGGAAAACCTTTGGTTGAAAACGGAGATCGATTATTACAATGAACAACTGTGGGAAGATTTCATTTGTATTAAAAAAATGTGTGTTTTTCTAGAAAAAATCTATCGAACTGATTAAAATTTTACTAAAACCTTATCAATTAAAAATTTAACATGAGAATTAATATTATTATCTCGATTATTTATTTCACAATCGCGAGCTCCTTCATAACTTCTTCAAGAAAACCTTGAAAAAAAATATAAAAGAAAAAATAAGCCAAAGAAAATTATCAAAGCAAATTTATACCTTGGAAAGTACGTTTAAATTCAAAATCAACAAATAATGGTATGTTTATCTATCTCTTCTGCTTTAAGTTTAAATAATCTCTACTTTATAAATTCAACAATATTCTTTTTACCTATTTCAGGAAAACATCGAAAACGTTCCCGTCATGACCGACTTGAAGTTTTGGCTGCTTCTCCATACAATGAAAAACGCAGCTGATGAGTGGTTGACCGAGGAAAAGAAACAGTTTATAAATGATTATGCAACAATATTTGGGCACAAAAAACTATTGGAAATCGAAATGCGATTCAATGGACGGTCAGAATGGGAAAATATGGATCAAATCAGAGATTAACTATCTTGATTATTTATTATACATTGGATACAAAAAGTTTGAACGTAAATATATAAAAGAAAATATAAATCGTTACCACCCTGATATACCAAATCATATTTAAATCTGATTTGCAATCGGTATGCAATACCTTTTTTGTTTTTCATTAAAAATTTTCTCTTTTACTTTTATTTGTACTCTCTTTTAAACTCGGTACCGTGTGCAAAATCAGGATAAATAGAATTTCCTTCTCAGGTTTTTACTTCAATTGATAATCATGTTTAGTGATGAGATATACCTAAAGTGTGTGAGAGAAAGGTTAGAAGATGAAGAAAAAAATCGTCATCCTCATGATATTTTTCGGTTTGAAAATCCGTGTTTCGGTATAAAAGAATTTGACCTTTTTCCTTTAATAAATCGTGCCTGTCCGCCAAAATTTAGACCAAAAATGCGGATTATTTCATCTCCATATGGTGAGTTCTTATTTATGAGAAAAATTTATTTTTCATTGTTTTTTATTTAGTAAATGAAAATTTAGGTAACAACGATTGGCAATGGCAATGGATGTGTGTTTACTGTGGTTTGTGTTTTTCTAAAATACGGAATATAATGTTACATGTTGTTGGTATTGACATTGATGGTGATCGTCAACCTCGAAAACCAGGGTGTATGGAACGGATAAAGCGTGAGGAACTTAAAAATCGTGGATGGCACATTGAGCCAAAATCCGACCTTATTTTGAGCCAGTCAATCTTATTCCATCAATAAAAACTATAGTTATTCCAGAGATGAACCTTCAATTTACTAAATACGCTTTTTCTCTTGAGATAGCTTTTTTTGAATACAAAAAATATGAAGGATTGTTTACAGTTAAACAAATAGATTATTGTTTTTCTACATGGAATAGCAATGTGGAAGATGTAACTCAATATTATCATTCCATTCGAGGGTATTTTAGACCTGACTTAATCATTGATCATAAAATACATAAACCAGCCCGGGAAAAACTTGCTGAGGTTAAGCTCCGCCTCAAATTAAATGATGCACGGTGAGTGGTTGTAATTCAAATGATAAATTTAACGGTCAAGGATGATATAAATCCGAGATCTTGAAAATTTTCTCATTCATGTTTCATTATTTCTAGTGTTTGGGGATCTAACTGTAAGTTAACTGTACCAGAAAAATGGAACTATCTCATGAAGTAAGTTTAACTTTTTGTAATCAAAATTGATTTTAATATTTAATTTTTTTGTTTTAGTTTGAACAAATTATGAATAGATACAACATAGATAACTATTCTTTTGATCCTATGGAATTGGACGGAGGGCGATTCGAGCGACTTTGGGAAGAGTTTATCGATAGAGAGAGAGAGTGAGGAAAGTTGTAATGCGAGGAAGAGTTAAATCTAAAATTATCGAACTCTATGGAAAAATAATCAAACTTGAAAGAGCAAAAGAAAATTAGTTAAAATTCTAAAAACTTCATGTGTTATATCAAGAATTAATGAAACCATTTCTGTATTGAAAAGAGGTGTAACTCACTGGAAGTTTTATTTACAAAATTATTAAATATTGAAATCAATTTTAATCTCCTTTCTCATTCATTCATCGTGTAATTTTTTAATGTATAACTAATTATCTATTTTCAGGTTATGAAGTGCACTTGTTGCTTTCATTCATATTCTAATCTCGGGGATTATTTATCTCATCATTGTTGTGTGGGTAGTTGTAAAAGAATGGACATTTTTGAGCAATCACCAGCTAAAAAATCTAAGGACTCTTTTGTTTGTCCAAGTTGTCAATTTGAAGCAGAAATATTAATCGACTATTTATCACATGAGTGTAGTTCAACAGAGGATAGACGAATGGACATTTTTCTCCAACAAGAATCAATTATCAGTGATATTAAAAAAGTTAAGCCAACAAAAAACAAAGAAAAAGTGAAATTCAAGTGCCCATCCTGTAGACATTATTTTTCCAACAGATACAGACTCAATGCCCATAAAAATGTATGTTCATCACAATCACTTATGGAATTACCTAGACCATCGGAATCATTATCATCATTTACTCTTAAACATTCAGCCTTCCGTAAAGTTTTCGTGTTTATCAACGAAAGTTAGATGGATTAATTGACATAGATCTTGTGAAAAAGAGGATACAACTTCAACTGTATAATCTACTTCTCTCATCGTTACAGGAACTAGGTCCTGTAAAATACATGATTTTCTTAAATGTGATGTTCCAAAAACTGGGTATAGATGAAGTAGTCGAAACAAATATTCCATCAATATTCAAATCACTATTACCAGCAACTGATATTCTTCATTCTATAGATGAAAGTTTCTTGGAAATGAAAGAGATAATCGAACAGTTCACTGAAAAGGGTAGTGGTTTCTGGATAATGGACATTCCTGAGATGACTATTTGGATTGCAAAATATAAACCACATCGCGGAGGTTGCTTTGCAAATAAGTTACCCCAGGAATTGATAAGCAAAAAGTGTATTATAACGATCGAATGTGACAATGATTGTTTCATGTACAGTGTTTTATGTGGTATTTACAATCCGAGTCATCCATCAAGAATAACCCAATATACTAATTTAATAAACCGTCACAACTTCCAGAAGTTCAGAGGCAAAGTTGACATTGATCAAATCACCAAATTCGAATCGAAAAATGAAATAAGTGTAAGTGTTTTCACATATGATACAAATCAAAAGTATGTTGTACCACTTCGAGTGAGTAACAAACAAGCTCCTCACCATGTCCGTTTATTTTGGTATGATGATCATTACTATACAATTTCCAACTTTCAAAGACTTTTGAACCGAAGGAGTGGGTGGCATAGAGCTCATTGCGAGCGATGTCTTTCTGGTTTCCGATTTCAATGGCAGTTAGACAATCATCTAATGGATTGTTCAACTAAACCTGCGCAAAAAATTGTCATGCCATTTCCAACTGAAAATAAACCAAGAAGGAACTTTTGCGAACGTAAAGATCTTAAAAAAGAGGTCAAACACCCGATCATCGTTTATTGTGACTTTGAGTGTCTTAATGTTCCAACCAACGATCCTAAGAAACCATTTGTTCATTTACCTTGTAGTTATGGTTACATTGTTGTTGATTGGAACAAAAAAGTAATTGATAAACAATTTAAACATGGTGAAAATTTGATCCCTGACTTTCTTGAAAATCTTAAAAAGTCAGCGATAAATGCTGCTTTGTACACTAAACAAGCTCAAAAACCATTAGTGATGACAAGTGAAATTGAGGGTGAAATGATAAATGCTATCAACTGTTGGATATGTGAGAAACCATTAAGGGACGATCGAGTGGCTGATCATGATCATTTCACTGGAGAGTTCAGAGGTGCCGCTCATAATAACTGTAATGTTAATTATCAAATTCCATCGCGAATTCCAATTATATTCCACAATTTGAAAAATTATGATGGTCACATTATCATTGACACAATCAACAGCTCATCATTCTCCGACAATCTCAAAATTATACCCACAACTATGGAAAAATACATTGGTTGGTATGTGGATGAGTTCGCCTTCCTAGATTCCTATGGATTTTTACCTGCTTCTCTCGATACATTGAGTAAAAACTTATCAATTGATGACAAGAAAAAGTTTCTAGAACAAGAGTGGTTTGATCTTGATTTGAAAGATCTGATGGGTAAAGCTACTCTTCCATATGAATATCTAAATGGAATTGATAAGTTTGATGAACGCAATCTCCCTGCTAAGGAGCTATTCTATTCATCTCTTAATGATTCACACATTAGTGATGAAATGTATCAAAGACTAGAGAGAATTTGGTCACAATTCAAATGTGAAAAATTAGGAGATCTGATTGATTTGTATCTAAAAGTAGACATTTATATGTTAGCAGCTGTTTTTGAAAACTTTCGTGATACAAGCTTAAGTGATTTTGGAATCGATCCACCTCATTATATGACTTGTCCTGGTTTATCATTCGCTGCAGCACTTAAGATGTTGAAAATATCTATTGAACTTTTCACTCAAATTGATATGTTATTAATGATTGAAAATGGAATTAGAGGTGGATTCACAACTGTTGCTAAACGTCATGCTATCGCTAATAATCCTAAGACACCTTGTTACGATGGCGGTGATCAAATTCATTTATTATACTTTGATGTTAATAATCTTTATGGAAGTGCGATGATTGACGTATTACCGTTTAGCTCTTACAAGTGGTTCAATTGGTCGGATGACTTTGAGTTGATTCAAATGATTATCAATACAGAAGATGATGCTGATGATGGTTATATTTTAGAACTCGATCTTATTTACCCTGAATCTCTTCATGAGCTTCATAATGATTTCCCAATGGCCCCTCATCGAATGAAAATTGATAAAATATATTTGAGTCCATACACTCTTAATCTCTTTCATCAGCTCAACATGCAAGGAACTAAACCATCATCATCAGAAAAACTTGTATCAACATTTTTACCTCGTAAAAGATATGTCTTACATTATCGTAATTTAAAATTCTACTTACAAAATGGACTAAT